GAGATGATGATGATGATGATGATGATGGATGATGATGGAGATGATGATGATGATGATGATGATGATGATGGAGATGATGATGATGATGATGATGATGATGATGATGATGATGATGGAGATGATGATGATGATGATGATGGAGATGATGATGATGATAATGATGATGATGATACGGAGCAGGCAAGAGACGCAGGGTTGGGTCATCTCTCCTGCAAGAGCCATCCGCCATGATGGACCCCAAGTTCTTCAGCGCCTTCTTAGCAGGTGAAGTGCAAGGAGGGCCGATCGCAACCGCCTGCTCAACTTGACATGCAGGGGCGGCGGCAGCAGGAGCAGCATTTGGCTGCATGTTCGCAAGGTATGCGGGAATAGGTGATGATGGGGTGGAGGAGGTGAGCCTGTTGATGACTAGGAATGAGATGTCAGCGAGCAAGTGGAGGAGAGGTGAGGAGACGGTTTGAAGTTGTGTGAGAATGACAAGGCGCATGTAGGAGTGAACGAGAGAGACGGAGAGGCTCGGAGTGTGTTGAACAAGTCAACGAACAAACTGGGAAGAGGTAAGGCAAGATTGACTTCTGATGCTCTATTGTTACTTGTATCGAAGATAAGGCAGGGAGGAACAAGAAGAACAAGCGCGAGGAGGAGGAGGAGGAAGTAGAGGAGGAGGAGGAGGAGGAGGAGGAGGAGGAGAAGGAAGTAGAGGAGGTGGAGGAGGATGAAAGCAGCGAAGACGATGACGAAGTCGAAGAAGCAACAGCACGTTCCTCTGCCAAGAAGCTTAACGGCCTTTCTACTCGTGACAAGAAGATTTCAACTGGAATGATGAGAGAGAAAGATGTAGATGGGGATGAAGAAAAAAGCAGCAGCAGCAGCAGCAGCAGCAGCAGCGAGGAGGAGGAGGAGGAGGAGGAGAACGACGACGACAGCGACGACGACGACGACGAAAATGAGGACAATGAGGAAAAAGAGAAAGAGGAGAGCAGCGAAAGCAGTGAGGAAGAGGAAGAAGTACAGAAGAAAGAGAGTAAAGGAGTGAGGGCCGAGGACGAGGACGAGGACGAGGACGAGGACGAGGACAAGGAGCATGCGACACTTTCGACGAAGAAAGGTTCGCCGACGAAATCAAGGATGAGCGGAAAGGAAGCGAAGAATGCTCGGGAGTCAGAGCAGGGTTCATCAACCCGCAGGAAGAGGAGGAGGAGGAGGAGGGGCAAGAAGAAATCACAGCAGGGGAATGGACCGGAACAGCAGGGAAGCACAGGACAGAAGGAGCACGAGAAGAAGGAGAAGCAAGAGGAGGAGGTCAGGTCCACTCAAAAGAAAGTTACACCGCTGAACAAAGCTAGGAGGCTTGTTTTCGACGAGGAAGGTAAGACGATACCGCCATACCCTCCCCTAACCCTCACCCTCCACCTTCCTTTCCTCCCCCTCCCCCTCCCCACTCTTCCTCCCCTCTCCTCCCCTCTCCTCTCCTCCCCTCTCCTCCCTCTC